ATGTATAAATATATCTATATATACATACAAAATAAAAAATATACACATATATATATATATACATCTATACAAATATATATATATATATATATACATATAAATATATTTATATATACACATATATATTTATCCTCTACCAAAAATAAAAAAATATATACGTGTATATGTATATATATGTGTATATATATAAATATATTTGTATGTATGTATATATATATATATATATTTGTATAGATGTATTTATATATGTGTATGTGTGTATATATAAATATATTTGTATGTATGTATATGTGTATATATGTATTTTTTATTTTTTATTTATTTTTATTTTTTATTTTATTTTTTTATTTTAAATTTTTTTTATTTTTTTTTATTTTATTTTTATTTTATTTTTTTTTTGAAAATCTGACGTGGCATGACCTTCCACGTCAGCCGTCACGTGGTCTTCCAGTCAGCAATTAACAGACATTTAAACGTCGTTTCAGATTGTGTAATAAATTGCAGTAAAATTGGATAATTCGTGTATCGATTTGGAACATTTGATAATATAATATAGGTTTTTGTCAAATTAAAAATTTGTGTAGGAAAATATCACATTTTATTAAATTGGTGTAGAAAAATGTCATTTTCCTAAGTTGTTATAACTTGGTCGAACCGGGGATATCATTGCATAATGGATGAAGTAAGTTAATTGTTAAATTTCCCATAAAATCCACAGGGAGGTTTTCAATCCTATACACCAGATAAGAGTCAGAATAGATAGAAGGATACGAGATATTCTTATATCTTTGCAGAAGATAACCCATCTGACTGAGAATGAAGGATTTTAACTATGGAACCGCGAAACTTTAACTCATTGAATTATGTTGTGAGCGTAGAAATAGTTATTTTAGAATCACTTGCACATGAAATCCCAAGATTATTTTGTAATGACTTACGATAGACAGTATTTATACACTGATTTTTTTCTATAGATAAATACAACAATCACATTATACCAAAAAATATTTTGGTTGAATTGAACAAATGATACATGGTTGTGGTTAAAATTCAAAGTATATAATATTATATTAATAATTTTTTTATTATAGACGATTTATGATTGTAGATGTACAATAAAGGAGATAACAATTTAAAGAAAATTATATTAAAATAAGTTATTAATGCATATATATATAGATTTTAATTATTAATTTTATTATTTATTATTTATTTTATTAATTTATTAATTTTTATTTTTATTTATTTATAAAATTAAATAATATTTTTAATGACAAAATATAAAATAGATATAATAAAATTTAAATTTAAATTTGAGCTGAATTATTCAAAGCGAATTTGAAAAAAAATATTGCATGTATAGTGATTTTTTTTTTTTAATATTTATTTCCTATTTATTACACTATGTTAAATTTTTGATTTAAAATATTGCAAAATTTGAAGATAATAAGTAAAGAGATCTATTCATTGATAAGAAAAAGAAAAAACGTAAGCGATTGGATTGATGATAAAATCGAATCTTGAGTCGCGAACAATGATTCAAAATAATATTTTGTTTATTCAAATGCATATATTTAAATTTAGTTTTACGTTTAGTTTATTTTTTAGGTAAATTGTTCTATATTTATTATTAAATGATTAAGTTTACAATATTTTAACTAAGTTGTAATATATATAATTTAAAATTCTGGGTTTTAACTTAATTTTTGATAAATTTTGCTACAATTTTTTTATATTAAAAATAACAATAATATCGTAAACATTCAATTAGATTATCTTACAGTATAAATCCGTTCACAAATAGACAAATTAAATAGTAGAAAAACTGATATAGTCGTCACTATTATAAATCCAAAGTTTATCGATAATAATTATTAAGATCATATAAAATAGTATATTATTAATATATTTATATATAAAACAATATTAATATTACATAAACTAATTACTATTTTTAATAAATAATGTGTTTTATCACTTTACACATGATCAATTAAAAAAGTTATATAGATGTAAAACTCAAAATCATAAAAAACTTTCATATCATCTATATAAACTATTCTTTAGATGGATGTTTACTACATAATATCTTTTTATTCATTTTATTATTATATTATAAATATTTTTAAGATGGGGAATAAAGATATGAGAATAAATTATTGACAAATCTATTCACTACCTATGTAAATTTTTAATAATATAATAATATAATGATATTTATATTCTTTTATTTTTTTTATATACTACTTCTTCGCCTCCATCATCATCATCATCATCATCATCATCATCATCATCATCATCATCATCATCATCATCATCATCATTCCAAGTTGACATGCGTATGCTTTTTTTTTATGTTACGATATCGTTGTGCGTTTTTCCAGGGAATTACATGCATTTTAGGAGAATATAGTTTTTTATGATGCGTATCCATATCCATTATATATTTAGAGATGTCAAATGTTAAACCAACCGGTTCGGACCAGATCGGATCAATTCGTTCTGGTGTAGCTTATTTTCAATCCGACTCATTAAGTCCGTTTTTATTGTGACCGATAAATTCAAAGTTCGGACCAAATCGCTCGAGTTCGCAAATCGACTGGCGAGTAAAAAAAATAAAAAATAAAATAAAAAAATATGAAATATTATAAAAAAATTAAATAACAATTAATATATTTTAAATTAATAAAAAAAATATTTAAATTTGATAAAAAAAAAGAAAGTTTTAAAATTATTTACAAAATATTAAAAATAAAAACAATTCTGGATTGCGAGTTAGCTCGTCATGAGTCGAACTCGTGGCGAGCTAGTTCGTTTGGCTCATTTTTTTTCAGACTCAAAATTTCTCAGTTACAGATGAGAAATGACTTACAAACCGGTTCATTTGATATCCCTACTATATTGTAAAGTGAGTTACAGATGAGGACCTATCTACCTATATACTTAACATCCAATTTTTTCGGTCAAAATGCCAAATATATATTCCACCGTATGATCATAATCATACATTATTTCAAATGTATTTGATATGAAGATTTGCCTAACCATCTTCGTATATATAAATGGTTAACGTCGTAAGAACTTATAACAAAAAACGTCGTGATCTAATTTGTTCAGTCTCAAGTTGAAAAGAAGAGTATAATTCTAATCACATTGTTTATTTTCGGTCTCGAGATTAGTTTGAGTTTCGGTCCATGATACAGAAATGTTGCGGACAATTTGTTTCGTACATATGCGTGTGTGTATATATATATATATATATATATATATATTAAAGAGATCTATTCATTGATAAGAAAAAGAAAAAACGTAAGCGATTGGATTGATGATAAAATCGAATCTTGAGTCGCGAACAATGATTCAAAATAATATTTTGTTTATTCAAATGCATATATTTAAATTTAGTTTTACGTTTAGTTTATTTTTTAGGTAAATTGTTCTATATTTATTATTAAATGATTAAGTTTACAATATTTTAACTAAGTTGTAATATATATAATTTAAAATTCTGGGTTTTAACTTAATTTTTGATAAATTTTGCTACAATTTTTTTATATTAAAAATAACAATAATATCGTAAACATTCAATTAGATTATCTTACAGTATAAATCCGTTCACAAATAGACAAATTAAATAGTAGAAAAACTGATATAGTCGTCACTATTATAAATCCAAAGTTTATCGATAATAATTATTAAGATCATATAAAATAGTATATTATTAATATATTTATATATAAAACAATATTAATATTACATAAACTAATTACTATTTTTAATAAATAATGTGTTTTATCACTTTACACATGATCAATTAAAAAAGTTATATAGATGTAAAACTCAAAATCATAAAAAACTTTCATATCATCTATATAAACTATTCTTTAGATGGATGTTTACTACATAATATCTTTTTATTCATTTTATTATTATATTATAAATATTTTTAAGATGGGGAATAAAGATATGAGAATAAATTATTGACAAATCTATTCACTACCTATGTAAATTTTTAATAATATAATAATATAATGATATTTATATTCTTTTATTTTTTTTATATATAATGATTTAATAATATAATTTAATCTTATATGTATTAATATATATATATATATATATATCAATTTTTACTATATTCATATAAATAAATTTTTATAAAAAAGACAAATATTTTATACTAATAATAAAAAAAAAGAATAAACCGCGTATCTGGTGGCATTAAAGATTAACTATTGTGGGTTAACTAGAGAGTTGATTGAGCTTCCCAAAAAATAATAAAATAAGGTTTTATATCGAAAAGTCAAATAAAATATTACTGTACAGAGTGAGCCTACGGCTTCAGTCAAAGAAATGGCGCCATGAACCAGAAATAGTATTCTGCGTACTCACACACCACGCTTTCTGCATACTCACACCACGCTTCTCTCACCCTCTCCGTATCTCTCTCTCTCTCTCTCTCTCTCTCTCTCTCTCTCTCTCTCTTGCTCTCTGTTTCTTCACAAAGCTGTGTCTGTTTCTTCGCCGGAGCTTGGAGAAGAATCGCCGACATTGAAGAGGACTTGCCTCTCTGGTCGTCGTTCTTTTTGCTCTTGGTTGTGTTTCAACTTGGTTCAGAGTGTTTCTGACGGCATAAAGACAATGGAGAGGGGTATCGGGAAGAGAGTCAAGTCTCTTTCTAGAGAACGTCAAGAGGTTCAGACACAAAAAAGGAAGGAGCTTGAAGCTCCGTTGCCTTCTCCGTCCAAGCCGAAACGACGGCGGAGAAGAAGAATCATTGACACCTACTCTGACATTGAGGAGATTGAGATTCTTCCAGATCCCGTGCCAGATGAGGTTGTTGTTGTAATTTCAGATTCTGAGCCTGAAAAACATGAAAAGGGTTCAGATGGGTTGATGGGTGGCGACGATGAAGAAGATGAAACAAGTTACAGTGAGGAGGTAGAAGAGCTAGAAGAAGAAGAAGAAGAAGAAGAAGAAGAAGAAGAAGAAGAAGAAGAAGAAGAAGAAGAAGAAGAAGATGAAGAAGAAGAAGAAGAAGAAGAAGAAGAAGAAGAAGAAGATGACGACACTGAAGATGAAGATTACAGAATGGCCGAATCAGAGTCTTCAAAGATTTTGAGTTCATCATCATCATCATCATCCTCGAGTGATGATTATGATCACCATTTTCATCAGGAAAAAGTCGGAATTACCAATGTAGCTTCAACGAGCAAGAAACCCATGCAAACAGAGAGGAAGTCCAGGGGAAAGGATAAGAAATATGAGAAGAGGGTAGAGCAAAAGCCTCAGAAGGAAGAGAAAAGAGTGGCGAAACAGTACAAGAACATTGTGTTTACATGTGGGAAATGTGGCTCTACTGCTTCCACAGTCGCTGGCTGTGATAATTCCCCCACCCAAACTGTGGAAGCTGCAGGCGGGGGTTTGAACAAGCTTCCTTCTCCTAAAGCATCACGAATTAAAGAATCTGTTTCAGACAGAAGATCTGAAATCCTACCTCCTGGTCCAAGAGCTGCAGATGAGAATTCCAACAAGCCTGTTTCGACGGATGTAGCAAGAGCTAAAGATTCTGTTTCCATCGGCTCCAATAGAAAGGCTGAAAACCCGCTTACCGGTACGAGAGCTGATGAGGAGGAGCTGACTAAGGTTGCTTCGGCCAATGCGTCAAGAGCTGAGGATTCTGTTTCTGTGGGTTCAGAGAGAAAATATGGAAAGCAGCAGCTGAAAACTGAGATTGAGCATTGCCCGAAAAGCTCGGGGCATAGGACTAAAGAGCTTGATGTTTTCAGTATTCTTGTGAATTCTGTTTGGGGAAAACAAAGGATAGGAGAAGAGGAACCTGGTTCTTCGCCGCGGCAAGAAGAACCTCAAGAACAAGAAGAAACGAGAGGCGAAGACAAGTATGATGCGGATGGATTTCTAGTGGTACAGCCGCCTCCATTGGTGTTGAACTTCAAGTTTGGAGAAGATGAGCCTGAACCGGAGATTCCCGAGTGGGAAATAGAGAACCAGCAATTATTTGATGAATTTGCACTTCTCCTGAAATCAGGAGAAACGGAGATCGATATTTCTTCCGACGTAAGTTTTCGAGGCAATCTCTCTTTTAATGTCGTCTCAACAAGCAAAAACATTGAAAAGCCTTACTTTGAACCCTTTCCAGATTACTAAGGAATCGGCAGTGGATGAGCATCCCTTGGCGCGCTGTGAAAAAGGAAACCACGAACTCGAACTTGATCTTGAAATCGGGCTGAAGTGTATTCATTGTGGTTTTATAGAGACGGAGATCCGTCACATGGATGTATCGGAGTGGGTAAGGATGCAAGTAAATCTTGTATGTCATTAACTTTGGACTGAATTGTTGTATTTCATGGTGCAGCGGGGAGACATATTTAATAGCCGAAGGAGGAGTGCAGGTGGAACGGAACGTGAAGACAAGACATTCTTTGAGAAACTCGGATTCCCTGTCCTCACGAAGAACAGTTCCACCGAATGTGGAGGTGAATCAGATGGAACAGTCTGGGATGTGATACCGGGAACTAAGTCTCAGCTCTATCCGCATCAGCAGGAGGGTTTCGAGTTTATATGGAGGAACATAGCCGGGACAATTCACAGGGATAAGCTCGACGACTATGAGAAAAGCGACGATGAAAACAGAGGATGCATCATCTCTCATGCCCCGGGAACAGGAAAGACTCGTCTCACGATAGTTTTCCTTCAGTCATATATGGAGCTCCACAACAACTGCAGGCCCATGATTATTGCTCCCGCGAGTTTGCTCCTCACATGGGAAGAGGAGTTCAAGAAATGGAACATGGATGTTCCCTTTCACAATCTGAACAATGTGGATTTCTCGGGGAATGAGAGTTCAGTGGCAATGGACATATTTGAGAAAAGGGGGCAAGGTTCAAGAAGCCATAATGATGTAAGAATGGTGAAGCTATTCTCATGGAGTACGGAGAAGAGTATCCTCGGGATCAGCTACAACCTCTTTGAGAAACTTGCTGGAGATGATGTCGAGAAGAGAAAGAAGAAGAAGAAGAGCGAAGCCATACTCGACAAAGAACGAGAGGATATCAGGAAGATCCTTCTTGAAATACCCGGGTTGCTTGTTCTTGACGAAGCACACACCCCTCGGAGCCAAAGGAGTTGTATATGGAAGACACTGACAAAAGTAACAACGCAGAAACGGATCTTGCTCTCCGGAACACCTTTCCAGAACAGTTTTCTCGAGCTCTGCAACGTATTGTGCGTTGCAAGACCTGCATACCTGTCTAAGTTCTCATCGATGCTCAAGAAGAGTAAAATGACGGTATTGAGGAGACGGAGACGGAAAGATGGTAGAGATTCTGCTTCAGCTGTACATATCAACAATGATGGAATCGACGAGCTCAAGAGCCTTATGGATCCATTTGTACATGTTCACAAAGGAAGCATCCTTCAAAAGAGCCTTCTCGGGTTGAGAGACTGTGTAGTGGTTCTAAACCCTCCTGCACTCCAGAAGAGGATTCTCGAATCAATTCCAAACTCGAAAAACGTGTTCGAAGTCGATCACAAGAGGTCTGTGGTCTCGATTCACCCATCTCTGATTTCTTGTTGCACCTTGTCCAAGGAAGAACTGTTAGTTCTTGACGAGACTTTGCTTGACCAGTTGAAGAGATCCAGACTCGAACCAAATGAAAGCGTAAAGACAAGATTCCTGATGGAGTTCATCGGGTTATGCAATGCGGTAAACGAGAGAGTTCTGGTGTTCAGCCAATACATCGATCCTCTGTCTTTGATAATGGAGCAGCTGGGGTGTGTTTTCAACTGGTTAGAAGGCAAAGAAGTGCTCTACCTGCATGGGAAACTTGAACAAAACCAAAGGCAGCTACTGATCAACAAATTCAACGACCCAAAATCCGAAGCAAGAGTCATATTGGCTTCGATTAAAGCATGCTCGGAGGGAATCAACCTGGTAGGAGCATCAAGGGTTGTTCTTTTGGATGTTGTTTGGAACCCGGCTGTGGAACGACAAGCCATAAGCCGTGCTTACCGAATTGGACAGAAACGGGTAGTGTACACATACCATTTGGTAATGAAGGGGTCTCTCGAGTGCCAAAAGTACTGCCAACAAGCCGAGAAACATAGAATATCGGAGCTGATGTTCTCTTCCCGACACGAGAAAGCAAAGTCAAAGAGTTGTTCTGAAGCTGTGTTGGAGGACAAAGTGTTGGATCAGATGGTTCAACATGCGAAGCTCGGGGAAATGTTTGAGAAGTTAATCTATCAACCCAAGGAAGCGGATTTGGTGGAGAGTTTTAACTCAGTTTTCCCGTGACCAAGGAACTCGAGAGAACAATAAGGTACGTCTCTAACTCCATAGTTGTAATCAACAAAGAAAAACATTGGGCTGATGTTCTGCTTTTCTCTTCTGTAACCACATTGGATATATTCACATTCTTCATTTGATTGCTGGTAAAGTTCTTGAAGGCCCATATAGGAGAATGGATAGACATAATTGATCGAATTCCCAATCCGTGTTCTTCATTTCCAAGCTTAAATCAGATTGAAACCGAATAAACATATTCTCAGTATGAGTTTCTGCCCAAATGGCATGGATCTTCAAAGGATTGTGAAACAGGGCTACGCTCTTATTGAATCTAAACCTCAGATTTCCTCGTGTATTCATACGAATTGTATCAGATACCAAAAACTACGACACACAATGTCACCAGTGAAGATTTTTCAAATTGCATTGCTACAGAGCCAAACGCCTAACACAATAAACGCCGTACCTACGAAGGCCAGTCCGATTTTAGTCTCCTCTCCCAGCAAAATCCCGAACGCTGCGGTTGCGGCGAACGTCGTCGCGTTCGTCACCGGAACGGCGAGCGAGATCGGCGCGTGGCTCAGAAGCGCGAAGAATGTGGCGGAGGCCGATAGGTTAATCAGGAAGGGGACGGAGTATTGCCAGAAGAGGAGGAGATCGATCCAGCCACCGAGAGCTGAGAGGATTTTCCGGCGGAGGACTAGCGAGATCTGCGGCGGAGAACCAGTTTTTTGGGATTTCCGGTGGTCCCAGGTGATCGCACCGCGTCGGATCAGGGCGTTGGTGGCGCCCCAGACGAAGCCGACGGCCACCATTTTCTGGATATCTCCGATCATCGCCGGCGATCTTACGCTCTTTGCGTCGTTGCAAACAAAGGATTCCATTACAAATATATTAATCATTCAATTTACCTTCTAAAGGATCTGGACCGTCGATTATTTCAAATGAATAGGCAGTCAATTCTAATATATTATCTTGACCGTTGAATACTAGAGTTGATCTGAAGTTTAATTCATATAGTCCACCGTCAATTCGAATATATGATCTTGACCGTTAATTATCAGATATGATCCGAACCATTAATTTACAAACACGATCTGGACCGTCAATTCCAATATATGATCTTGACCGTTGAATATCAGAGTTAATCTGAGTCGTTAATTCATAGATACGATCTAGACCGTTAATTCTAATATATGATCTTGACCGTTGATTATCAATATTGATCTGAGCCGTTAATTCATAAATGCGATCTGGACCATCAATTCTGATATATGATCTTGACCGTTGATTATCAGATATGATCTGAACCGTTAATTCATAGATGCGATCTGGACCGTCGATTCCAATATATGATTTTGACCGTTGAATATTAGAGTTGATCTGAACCGTTAATTCAGAGATGCGATCTGAACCGTCAATTCTGATATATGATCTTGACCGTTATCATATATGATCTGAGCCGTTAATTTATAAACACGATCTGAACCGTCAATTCCAATATAAGATCTTGACCGTTGAATATCAGAGTTAATCTGAACCGTTAATTCATAGATACCATCTGACCGTCGATTCCAATATATGATCTTGACCGTTGATTATCACTATTGATCTGAGCCGTTAATTCATAAATGCGATCTGGACCATCAATTCTGACATATGATCTTGACCGTTGAATATGAGAATCGATCTGAGCCGTTAATTCATTGATGCGATCTGAACCGTCAATTCTGATATATGATCTTGACCGTTGATTATTAGATATGATCTGAACCGTTAATTCATATATGCGATCTGGACCGTCGATTCTGATATATGATCTTGACCGTTGAATATTAGATTTGATCTGAACCGTTAATTCAGAGATGCGATCTGAACCGTCAATTCTGATATATGATCTTGACCGTTGATTATCAGATGTGATCTGAGCCGTTAATTCATAGATGCGATCTGGACCGTCGATTCCAATATATGATCGTGACCGTTGAATATTAGATTTGATCTGAACCGTTAATCCAGAGATGCGATCTGAACCGTCAATTATGATATATGATCTTGACCGTTGATTATCAGATATGATCTAAGCCGTTAATTCATAGATGCAATCTGGACCGTCGATTCCAATATATGATCTTGACCGTTGAATATCATAGTTGATCTGAACCGTTAATTCATAGACACGATCTGGACCGTCAATTCTGACATATGATCTTGACTGTTGAATATGAGAATCGATCTGAACCGTTAATTCATTGATGCGATCTGAACCGTCAATTCTGATATGTGATCTTGACCGTTGAATATGAGAATCGATCTGAGCCGTTAATTCAGAGATGCGATCTGAACCGTCAATTCTGATATATGATCTTGACCGTTGATTATCAGATGTGATCTGAGCCGTTAATTCATAGATGCGATCTGGACCGTCGATTCCAATATATGATCTTAACCGTTGAATATTAGAGTTGATCTGAACCGTTAATTCATAGACACGATCTGGACCGTCAATTCTGACATATGATCTTGACCGTTGAATATGAGAATCGATCTGAGCCGTTAATTCATTGATGCGATCTGAACCGTCAATTGTGATATGATCTTGACCGTTGATTATCAGATATGATCTGAGCCGTTAATTAGTAGATGCGATCTGGACCGTTGATTCCAACATATGATCTTGACCGTTGAATATCAGACATGATCTGAACCGTTAATGAATGTATGCGATCTGGACCGTCAATTTTAATATGTCATCTTGACCGTTGAATATCAGAAATGATCTCAACCGTTAATTAAAAGACACGATCTGATCTGTCGATCCGTTAAAACGATCTGGACCGTCACCAGTAAAATAAGACGGCAGAATCATCGTTCACTTTTTATTAATATAAAACTAAAAATATGTAAAATCCTAAACCAAACCGCCTTTAATTTTTTTAGCCATGGATATATTTTTAAGTAGTCTTCAAAATGTTGGTTAATCGAATAATTGAAGATTATTATAATAATTCACTGCACTTTGATTCATTCTCCAATAGATGGAATTTATAATTACTCCATCAAAGATTTTGTTTGTTAAAAAAATAAAATTAAAAAAAAAAGAATTTGTTTTTATATATTCTTTTCGGAATACAAGATCATGGAATTCGACAATAGAAAAAAGGAGAATCAGAGTCTCAATTCCAGATACACCGGAAATATTTATTACAAAAGAGAAAAAAGTGCCAAAAGCTTTAGAGAGAAACAAAAAATAATTAAGGCACTTGAAACCCTCCATTTGAACGAGCAGCTTTCGTCTCCGAGCAGAACCCTCCTCCATCATCACAATGGACCAAAAGCTAATCAAGCTTCTTCTCTTTTTCTTTTCCATTTTAAATTTGATTTAAGCCCCATTTATTAACCCCTCACATAAACCGACCACCAAAGTAAACCGGATTTTAAAAGATAAATTGCTAAGAAGGGAAATTAGGGTTCCGGTTTAAGGGACGAAAGAGAGAATCGGCATGATTGGATGGCGTCTTCGACGGATAAGAAAATGTGCTCTTTGCCAAGCTTCTCAACGAAATGAGACAATGTCATCTTCTCCAACACTTCCACTCTTGGATTTATTATTGCCATCTGCAATTAAATTTTTTAAAAAAAATATTTTTTTGTAAATATTAATTGGGGGCAATTTTAATTTTACTCTGTGATAATTTTAATTTTATTGGGGTCATTTAACAATTTCTCTTTGGACGTATTTGTAAGGTACCTTAATGCCTCTTGCTCCGAGAATTCTTCGGACTTCCAGCAAAGTCTCGATCCCGGTCATGTCGATGGTCGAAACTCCTATTAACGATATTTACAAAACTCGATCGTAAATTATAAGCATGGAAAGAAAGAAAAAAATATTGTGATTCACGTACGTAATGGAACAAATTAATGTTGTTATGTAATTACCCGAGAGCTCGAGAAGAAGAAACTCGACAGGTTCGGTCTCATCCCGGATCCACCTCAAGATCCTGTCATGCAATAACCCTAGAATGTTATGTCTAAAACTATATATGCATATATTTCCATTGGTTATAAAACATTTTATGTTCTTCGATTCTATGATAACGAGAGTATGCATGCATTCTTCGATCCTACGAAAAAGATAGAAAGCATTCTTAAGATCGAAAAAGGAAGAAGAAGAAGAGAGATTCTCGTGCCTTTCGCGGACGTAGGTAGAGTTGGCGAAATAGACCGGAGAACCCAATTGGAGAATCAAGAACCCGGCGTTTTGCTCAGCAGCCGGGTATTGCTCGACGTCCCTATACATCACCGAGTTCGGCATTCTTCCCAGCTTACATGTCCCGGGTCGAGCAACGTACAAGAGCGATCTCACAATCGAAACCGCCACCTAATCAATCAATCAACACATATAGTTACAGAAAAAGATCGCGAAACAATGCTTCAAAAAGAAAGAGTTTCATTCGGGTTTGGAATTGACAAAGAATCACGGTGTATCGTACCGACATGAGGAGGCCGTAGTCCATGCTGATGAACGAAACGCCTAAAAAGGCGGTCATACAGACGAGGAAATCGAATTTATCGACCTTGTAGAGGTGGTACATCTCCTCATAGTCGATAAGACCGAGCATAGCCGACATGATGATGGCCGAGAGGGCGACAAGAGGCGTGTAGCTGAAGATCGGGGCCAAGAACAGAAGAACAAGCATCATGCAGAACCCCATCACAATGTTCGACATCGGGGTTCTTGTCCCCGCGTTGTAGTTCACCGCTGTCTTTGAGAAGGGTCCTATAATTTGTCGAAAAATCAATTTCAAACGTTAAGATCGACGAATATCTTCCGTCTAATTCGATCTCAATTACTAAAGTATGATCATCAAATCAAGATATATATATAATGAGTTAGTTACCTGTTGTCAAGTAGCAAGACGTGAATGAGCCTATAACGTTCATGAGACCAAAGGCAATCATCTCTTTGTTCCCGTCGATTTGCTCGTTCTTCATCAGCCCGAAACTTCTCCCGATCGCGATACCTTCCTGAAATCGTTGAATTCGGTAACGTTTATTGTATATCCATAATCGAATTCCGGACATATTGAGCGAAAGAAGATAAATTCCGCGTCTTACCGCTAAGGCGATGAGGCCAGTGATAAGGCCGGCTTTCACAACGGCTCCTATGTACTTGCTGTCGAAGTTCAGCAAATTGATTGAAGGAGGGTTCAGTCCTCTCTTCAAATGTCCCACCTGTGTCACCAAATATATATATATATATATATATTATAACTATATATACTCCGAAGATGTTACGATGCCTTATTGGTATCAAAAGATTACGTAATATATATATATGTATATATGCAAAGGGTCGATCGATGAGAAATTTATAACTCACAGTTAGGATGCCATGCTTTTCTCCCTTGACGAGGAAAGCAACTAAGCAGCCGACAAGAACCACAACCATTGGAGCCATTGCCGATACCCAAAATAGCTTCGGCTTTAACTTCCTCTGAAAAACAAAACGGAAACAGAATTTTTATAAAAAAAATTACAGAAAACACCAATATATATATATATATATGTATATATATAATTCTCCATCCAATTCTATTTTAATTGAAAAGCCAGACATATCGTGTTAGTATTCTATTTTATCACCTTTTTCAAATTTACTTTTAAATTCAAATATCGAATATTAATTAGAGAGAGATAGAGAGAGATTACGATGTATCGAGTGGCCTGGAGAAAAATAAGAAAGCATATCCCTGCGACGGCACTTTGCCACTTCCACTGCACAAAACCAAGAAAAAGTCCCACTTGATCAGTATCCATTTTTTTTTAATTATATTATTATTTGTGTTACGATTTTTTTATTTAGTCAATATCTTGTGCTGATTTTAGTCAAAATAAACTCACTTTTTAGTAAAAAGGTGGATATCTTTTATTATAATAATAATAATAATAATAACGCTTTAATTCGTGGAATTCTCCGTCATCAAATTCCAATTTATTATATAATATTAAAGTTAAAATCTTAGTTGTATAAATTCTCCGTGATTTTTGATAGACGGTTTAGTCATTTTTTTAGGGATCAAATTCGAATGATAGCAAAACCAAAATACAGAACAAAATAAAAAGAATAAATAAATAAATAAAAAAACCTCGTTATGGTTGACGAAGACAGCACGAAGGACATGAACGACGTCGGTGTGCTGAGTGAAGTGAACCAGACCAAGCATGCCCTTAAGCTGTTGAAGCAGAATTATGATCGCTGTTCCTCCCATGAACCCCGTTATGGTCGAGTGTGACAAGAAGTCCACCAATATCCCCAACCTATATATATATATGCGCTATAAGATAATATATAGAATAAGGTTTCTCGTTGTATGAGCATATATATATATACCTGAGGAACCCTAGGGCGAATTGGAAGATTCCGGTGATGAGAGTGGCGGTGAAGATCAGATGAAGGTACAGATCCGGATTATCTTTCTGAGGAGCGACTTCTCCGATCGTTTCCGCGAGCAGGAGTGAGCATGCGGCCACCGTCCCCACGGCCAAGTTGTTCGAACTCCCGAACACCGCGTATATGAAAGGTGGTACGAAACTCGAATCTGAAATTGACCAATTTTATTATTTGTTGTCAGTGAATAGTAAAATATACTTTTAGATTTGTTTTTCTTCAAATTAACATCCAGAAAAAAAAATATTTACTAACGTTTTTTTTTTGGGTAAGAATTTCAAAAAAGAAAATATTTAGTCATTTGACAAAACAAGGAAATATTACTCGATAGTATGGAAAATATTTTTACCAAACAGAAAATACTATAAATAAAACAAAAAAAAATGGATCTCGTTCTGGAAACAGAAAAAGGTTGAAATCTTTTTGAAACTTTTTAAAAGGAGATCATAAAATTTTGGACGTAAAATAAAATTTGTTGTATCGAGAATAAAATAAAACAAATAATCTTAATAAAATTTTCATGAATCAAATTAAAAAAATAGATTTAAGAGGGAGAAAGAGAGATCTATCTTACAAAGACCGATGATGGGAGGGATGTTGGCAAGCTTCGCATAGCTGATACCCTGAGGGACGGCGAGGCTCGTTATGGTGATACCGGCGAGGATATCGTACCGGAGCTTTTTAAGATCGTATTTCGGAAACCATTCGAAGATGGGCACGAAATACTCCAACGTCTTCTTCGCCTTGATCGCATTGTTGGGCTCTTCGGATATCGGCTTGAATGGATCGTCCGAGAAAAACGTTTCCTTGCACTTCGATCGGAGTTTCGCCCCGAAACCCCTCGGGGCCGAGAAATTCACCCCTTGGCCCGTGGGCGAGGACGAGTTCTCTCTTGCACTTTCCATGAACAACAAGAAACAAGAAGAAGAAGAAGAAGAAGAGCAATTAAGAAAAGAGACAACCTTTTGCTGTGTTGTGTTGTGTTATGTCTCTCTCTCTCCTTTCTCTCCCACACTTTTGGCTGTTGTAGAGATCGAAGACTGGTTTGATTCGCTTATATATAACGGGGGAGGCCGAAATACGTGGGAGTACATGTCATCGATATCATCCAAGGGATTTGTAAAATGCGGTGTTCTTTCTTCCTTTTTTGGGAAAAAAAAATGTGGTGATCTTTAACAGCGCAGATCCTGATTCTGTAAAAATATATTGACTGAACCGCAGTTGGTAAATAAGTTAAAAATAAGATCTAAATGGGCAGCAATATTAATATTAATTAGTTTTCTTACAGGCTAGCAAACGGCGGAAGAAGTAAATAATTGCACAATCTAAATAATATATATTATTATATTTATTGAATATATAACTAAAAAGATTTTTTATTTATATTACAAGTTTGGGAAAGAAAAAAAACATGGGTTTTTTCATAATAGAGAAAAGAGGAAGAAAATATAAATTTATCTATGTATATGTATTTTAATATCTCTAAATTCAAACGATAGTTAAAAGGGCACCGTTTGAGTCGCTCGATACTCGATAGTCTTTGTTTTAATGGTAGTCATTTTGGATCAACTTACACGGCTTATCTTAAAATAGAAATTCTTACAACCAGTGACAGTAGGTATATTAATTAAACCATAAATTCAAAATCTTGGATATAATCTATTGTATATAGATCGATATGTTCGATTGCACCACGATTATATATAATACACATACATATATATGTATTAACTAATTGATACTTCGTTTCTATATTTGAATCAAATAAAACTATATTTTTTTTTACAAATTTCCAAGACTATTATGTATTAAATATAGGACAAGTAAAAAAAAGTACATTTTATAATCAACAAGAAAACTTTATCATTGAGCCAAAACAATTGGAAAATGATTTTTTCTTTTTTGGAGATTGAATTAAACCCAATAAAATAAATAAGAAAAAAAATAGAAGAAATGCTCCCGAAATTGAAGCTTGTCCGGTCCTCGGTAGTTTCAGTTCTTCACGGAGTTACTATATATATATAAATAAAATAAAAATATATTTAAAAAAATCCATTTTGCTTAACAGAAGATTAATTATAGGATAGACATATATAATCTTCGTTTTCGCAGTCAACAAAGAAGTTCTATCATTTAGCCAAAGCAATCGGGAATGACCTTTTTGGTTTCTACAACTGGAAAATGAATTAAAACCTATAAAAATAAAGAAGAAAAAAATCTGAAAAATAAAAATAAAATGCTCCCAAAATTGAATCTTGTCCGAGTCTCGAGTTGTTTGAGTTAATTTCGTCTTTGACTAATTTTTAAAATTTCAAAACTAAGTTCTTATTTCAATCCCAAATAGAAGCAAACACATACGATATGTTATTTAGGGTTTTTAACTAAATTTTATTTTTAATTATATTAATGTGTTTCAATGAATATTTTTTTAGATAGGTGACTATATTTAGTATGACGGAAATAAAAACAATGGGATGTTTTATTGTTTTTGTATTATGGAAAATAAATGCATAACTATATATGTATAATGAGAATAAATTTTATTATCAAATTTCAACCACACGACGAGAACCATGTTTCGGGAATTTTGTACCAAACATTTCGCCATGTGATTTGCTCTTAACTCTGTCGTCGACATTGAGAAAAACATGGACGGCTGAAATTCTCCAACCGCTTCTCGTTGTATGAGCATATATATATACCTGAGTTTAAGATATAAGCCAATATATTTTTTTCTTCGGACATAATGAGTTTGGTTTCGGTAAGGAATTTTTTTTTTCCGAATTTTTAAAATAGCTTGAGAAACACGGTGAAAATTAAGATCATTATACATTTACTGCTTTTCAAGGTGAAAATTAAGATGTGAGCAAATAAGATTTATTTTAAAAATATATATATTCGAGGATTTGGTTTATATTGACAACAATCAAACCATAAAACACGGTATTTCGTTGGATTATATATATAACATTAGATATATAACATTAGAGGTGGATGTTTCGGGAAACGGTTCGGGTTCGGGACGGAATAGATCGGTTCGGTTCTTTCGGTTTTACAAAAATAGGTACCAATCGGGTTTTTTATTGTATTCGGTTTGGTTTGGTTCGGTTTCGGTAACGGTTCAGTTCGATTCCGGGTTTTATTAAAAAAAATGTTAGATTTCCTTTAAAAATATTCGGTTTTTCGGAATTTTTAAAGTTCGGTTCGGTTCCGGAAAAATTCGGTTCTCTAAAAATAGTACCGTTTGGGAAATAACAACGGTTTCGAGTCGGAAAAAATACCGTTTTAACGGTTCGGTTCGGTCTGGTTCCGAAGAACCGAACCGAAATGCCCGGCCCTATATAACATAATATTTTTCTTTAGGTCAAATGAGTTTTAATTTCAGTCGTTTTTCTTCTACATTTTTTCACTGTTTTGAAAGGTCTTTTCTGTTAGAATCACTTATATACAAAGTAAGAAATCCGGATATGATTTTAAAAAGTTTTTATCATCTTGAAAAGCGTTATTCCACTTCGGATAAATAAAATTATAGTAATATATTTTTGAAATAAAATAAAATCCCGATGATTTTGTGGTTTACCTGTAGATAGTCATCACATGAAATACTTGTTTTTTTTTTAAGAAAATATAACAAACCATTACAATAGTTTTTAGAAAAATTACTAATACCAAAGCACTCAAAATCTCTTGTCTTATCCTTGTCTCTTTGTATCTTATTAATGTCATCAACTTCTTTTATTTATAGAAAATTAGTGGTGTCAATTTTACCGTTTGTCTAAAAATAGGGTGTCAATTTCAGCTCTAAATCCATTCCCAACCTATCCGGAATATTGGATTTTGGGTTTTAAATTTATAAATTAAAAAAAATCGAATTTTCGGTCGAGTTCAAATAGAATTTTGGATCGGTCCGAAAGTCCATTTATTTATTTAGATAAATGTAAAATGCATCTTGATACTTAAGTAAATATGATTAAACGGACTCATTTGACTGAATTCGGACCCGGACTTTTTAAAACCGGGTTCTATAGATTTAGAAAATTTGAACCGGTTCAACCTATAATCGTCGGTTTGAATGCATAACGATCTGACCCGTTTTGACACCCATCTAAATATAACTTAATATTTAATTGATAAAATATTAAACACAGTGAGATTGTATCCTTTTGTTTAAACTTATCTAAATATAACTCTTTGAAACAAAAACAATAATTATTAATTATTATTAATAGATATGCATCTTTTTATTTAAAATTATCTCTATTTTTTTATTCTAAAATAATATAACTAACTATTTTTAAGTATTTAATAAAAATTATATAATTTATCGTAATATAAAGAGATATATCTTTTTCAAGATTTTAAATTTAAATGGTAATAATACCGAAAAACATTCAAGTAAAATGAATAAACATTAAATACATATGACACTTTTCATTCACGACATGCATTTTTAATAAACTTAATTAATTAAATAATTGCCACATATATTTTACCAATTATAATAATACATTATTTAACAATCCATATTTATTATTCATCTACATTCAACTCCTCTACTATATCCATAATATACATATATATATATATATATGAGAGATTAAGCCTAACATTTAGCCAAAATATCCAACATTTTTTAGATCAGTTATGTTTGGTTTGGGTTAGAAAAATCACACGCCATTAAATCCGAATAGATTCATCTGGTTTAGTTTGGTTTTGGTTTACAGAAATTTTAAAAAAAAAATAGTTTAATTAATCTAATAGCGAATTTAATATTGTTCAATTGGTTCACTAAATCCCCTCACTCGACCAAATTTAAGACCCATGAATGCTAATCGTCTACAACCTTTTCGATTGCGTCTATTCAGTCTTAAGGTTATTCTCGTGAGGTTTTGAAAAATCTTATAATAAAGTTGTGTTTTGAATTCACATTCTATAATATATTTTTATATTTTTTAAGTATTTGATAAAGATTTAGCAGGACAATAATTTGGCCCGAAATTGAGACACATTGGATAGAAGTAGAACATGGAACTTGATTGAGATACCAGAAAATTTTTGGGCTACCAAATGTCCTTTTTATCCTTAGGGCAAACCTCTGTCTTCAACTAACTTCGATTTTTAGGCCAATATGTTGGTATAAGTAAATTGATAAAACGTTTACGTTTTATTTAATTTTGGATGGTTGGGGTTTTAAATGTATATATTTTTTAAAAACGAAATATTTTTTGGATGGTTGTTAAAGATGAAAGCATATTTTTATTGGTGGGTATTTGAGATTTTGAATCAATTCTTTTTTCTTTTTTTTTGGAATTAAGATGTTTGGTATTGTTTTTAGTAAATAAAAATAATATATTTTACACATTAAAACAGTGTAAAATGTCACTATCTAAGATATTAGCATCGTAAAACATTACATGACATAATGTAGGCCACGGAAATGATTAGAAATACACTAAACATATAATACCTCCCTGGAATAACCCAAAGATGGATGTCGCAACCTCCCTTGGGTGGCACAAAGATGTTGCAACGGTCGTTTTCCTCATTTGCACTCTCCCATCATTGTGTTGTGATTACTATAACATTACTCATGTCATAATTACATGTTTATTCCTTATTTAATATATGTTTTGCATTATTTATGCACCATGATAAAAATTTATTTTAAGTTTTAATCAACTTTTATGAAGTAATATATGATAATATGACCTTATTACTTAGAGTTTATGGCATGAATTAGTTTTATAGGTGATCCTTTCAATTTGAAGATATAAAAAAATCTATCAAATGGAAACCAAACATAAGTATTTTGAAGATATTTTATCATAAAAAACAACATAAATACGAATGCCATGATAATATTTTTAAAATTACATATAGGAGGGGACTGGTTGCACCGCCGCTACCCGCAAACGGAGCGGTTGCGATTTTCGATGGTTGTAGGCGATTGAAAAACTGATTGGTTGAACTGTAATCACCCGCAACCGCAGCCAAACTTGTGTTTTCTAATCACAGCATCTAACTTGCGTTTTGGTAGCGGTTTCCGGTGTTTTGACAAAAAAAAACTAAAATATACTCATTAAAAAGTATATAAAACTCTAATATATATATATTTATGATAATTTTGTTTAGTGTTATGATTTGATATTATTTTTAGTATTATATTTTAATAAAAAAATATATAATAGTATACTTTTTAGATTTAATAATGATTATTTTAAAAAAATTTATAATAGAATTATTTTTTACTTAAAAATAAATTAAATTGATAATATTTATATTTTAAATTTATTATTTAATTATTATAAATTTAGTAAATAATTTTTATCAAATGATACTAAAAATTGTTTAAAATTATTATAAAAAATTATTTTAAAATAATATTTTTTTATAATTTATATCAAAACACAACTACAACCGCAACGAACTATTCACTTCTAACCGTATCCATCCGCAATCGCTGTCAACAGCAACTTATCAACCAGTCAGTACTTATCATTCATAATCGCTATCAAACGCTTTGAAAACGCCGTCACCCGCAACTGTAACAGCTGCGGTACAACCATTCGAACCCTAAAATCTATCTAGCTAAATCTTTATTGTATGTTAATGGAACAATCTTTTTAATTAAGATTTTTTTAAATCTTTTTTATTTAAGTCTCGGGCACTCTCTTCATCTGGAACGGTAGACTTTGAATTTCTTTTGTCATCGTGAATAAAATCTATGGAATATGATTAGACTGTCATTATTTCATAGAAACTTTTGGATTGCTGTTTTTTCGCAAACATTTTTATGCTACTCTCTGGATAAATACTTTGACGATCCCAAGTAATCAAAGGTCAAATTAAGAGAAGGCTTCGCGAGGAGGCAATATATATATATAATGCGCTTCACTTTATACATAAAGATTACATGCTTGTGTTTAATAAATTTTGTGAATATTAGCTGATTTTTTTTAACGATTATAAATTATATAGTTAAAACAGACAAAATAAACCTTTTAAATTTCATAATTATTTAATTGAAATCTTAATTATCTATACATCCAAATTAATATTGTGATTTTTTGATACAAGGGTTTTAAACGATTTATAAAAGTAGTGGGCCAAAAATGAAATTTTTAGCAAATTATGGACGTGTTGGTAAGAAAATGAAACTGTGTGATTCGGTAATTTGTTTCGAAACTTGTTTAAGATGGATTATCAGAATTTGGATATTGTCGCTTGTGGAGGATGGAATTTCCGAATTCAAAAAAGACATAATCTTTTTGTTTGGTGAAAAACAGAAAAAATTAAATTCTATGAGTCCAAATTTTCTTTTTGTTAGTGATTTTGGTTGACTTTAGACGTTAGAGTATTACCATCACTTCTTTCGGTCGTCAATTTTGTCGCATTCTCTATCCCAATTTAGCAACTCTCTATTCTATTATTTTCAGTAATAGTATGGACCAACATGCATATCATTATTACATACTGTTTTATTTAAATTAATTTTTAATAATTTTAATTTTGTTCGGTTCCTTCTTTCTCTACGCAATTCATTTTATTGTTAATTCGATAAAATAATTAACGTGCTACCAAAAAAAAATGGACGAGTATTGGATTAAAAAAAAAAGACATATTTAACAAATGGATATTATATTGGACAGCAATAATTCCCCTCTCTCTCTCTATATATATATATATATATATATATATGCATATACACATACTTATGATTAAGGTACGATCCAATAAACATTGGTGATCCTTGTTCATACTGTCATGGAATTTATTATCTATGAAAGATATGTATATTAAATTATTAATGAAAGAGTTCCTTGAGAACAGAGAAAACCCTCCGCTATAAAGAGAAGGTCTTCAAGGGTATAATGGTCTTTCGACCAGGACGGTAACCGTGTTCGTAAAACAAAGGGGCAAATCTGTAATAATCGTATAAACTTTTTTAAAAAAAAAAATCACAGTTCTTCGTCAGGAAACAACTCTTCCTTGAGCGAAGGGGCAATCCACTGAATCTGGATATACGTAATCTCCCATAGATCGTCGTCTTGTTTCCTAACCAAGATCTCTCTCTCCTTCATCGTACTGATCATGCTCTTCAGAAGCTCAGGAACGACCTCATGCAGCTTGTTCTCGCCATAATCTCCCAGATCCGCCTTCATACACGTGTCCATCCTTCTCAATACGCCTAACCAGAACGTTCTGAAATCGGGGCTTTCGACGATCAGTTTCAGGTAATGCATGTACACGTTCGTCACCATCTGCATCGCCATCTTCAGCGTCCCTTCCATGGCTCTCATCTCTCTCTCCGCGTTGTCCCGCCTCGAGTAATCGAGTAACTTCTCGTGCAAGTCATCTATCGTCGGGAATATCACGTGGTTTATGCACGTGAGGCATCCGGTCGGCGTGAACTCGAGCTCCTCCCCCGTCACGAAGCTCTTCTGGAGAGATGCCACCGCTCTGTTCCGTATCTCCTCCCGTCTCGCCAGGCTCGTTTTCCTGAACGCTTCGCACAGTTTGAGGAAGAGGAAATGGGCGAAGTTTCCGCCGCCTCGAAGATTCTCTTCCATCGACGAATTGCTACCGCTGCTCGCGACACTGTAGCTGTTTCCGGGCTCGGCTGATGCAGTTTTGTACCATTGGATCAGCAAAGAGACTGAATCCGTCATGAGATCTAAGATCTTGAGATTCTTCTCAAGTGGGCTGTTCCGGAGGGTGACGAAACTGAACGCGCAATCGATGCAATAAGCGTAACTCGACCGAGAAAGATGCGACGCGTTGGTCGACATCAACGAGATGAGAGCATCGACGCTTTGTTCGTACGTTTCGGGGTGTCTTCCGCAAAGAGAAAGGAGCTGGAGGACGCTTTTCCACCCGATCTGCGTCTGAAGATTACCAGAATACTCCATTATGATCTTGCACGCGTATTCCGTGATGGTGTCACAGCACGTATCGATGATCTCTTTCTCCATCTTCCACATCAACGTTATAGACCGGAAGATAAGCTCCTCGGGTAAGCGATCCTCGAATTGAGAGGCGATAATCTTGGTGCAAACCGTGAGAATCCCCGGGATTCCCTTTTCGACAAAAGGGACGGGCGAAAAAAGCGGAAAATTGGCCACGGTGAGTAAGTAATCGTGGTAAGACGGCCAAAACATGTTGAAGCGGTGTACGTTGGCTAAGGCGACGGCGATGATGAGATCCCAACAGAACATAACCGTCTCTTCTTCCTCCGTCGGGGTACTAAACCGTTGTCCTCTCCCCGCCGCCGCGAATATTAAGGAGCGGCCGAGATTCAGGATCGCTGTGTCGGGCAAATTCGAGCTGTTGCTGAATATCTGACCGATCCGACATTGTTTGATGACTTTAAGGTTTTGCTCAAACTCACTCATTCCAAGTGCAACTGAATCTTCCATGCTATCTACTGACAAGAAGTGTGAAAATCTTCCAATTAAACAAGCATTCTGTCTCCGATTGAGTTTAGTGTCTCGACTAGACGGATTCCCGTCGGATTCCGACCCGATACCGTTACCCGAGACATTTTCTCCAGATGTATCAAACTCTACGACTGACTGAGGAAGAAGCCTAAGCTTCTTGAGCTTCAAGAGACAATCCACAATGTTCCTCCACCCTCCCCGAATCGAGTCCCCGAAACTGTTTGCGAGCGTGAAAACCGCGAGAGTGGCGATTCTAGGCTTCATGTCGTGGCTAAACGTGAACAACGTCTCTTCCGGCGTCGAGTAAGGGTTCAAAAGCGTCGTGAATTTGCAGAACGAAGCGACAAGCTCGTCGAGGATGTCCTCTAAGCCATACTGAGCGACTCTAGCAATAGATATCAATGCGTCGACGCATTCGTGAAGCATCTCGTCGTCATCCGCATGCTCAAAGAAGGAAGAGAGTGCTGCAATCGACGGACCCGCGATACTCGCAAACATATCTCTTCCTATCCGCCGATCAAACTCACAGAGGCTAAAGGGCTGCAACATTTTCGTTCGGTTTATCAGCTCGATCCACTTGTTCGGATTCATTTCCACGGAAAAGGAACTGCTCGAGAGAACAATCGCATTTGACGAAATAGATTGGAAAAGTTCAGAGAGATATTCCCTCGGAAGATCTTTCCCCGCGTTTATCGCGCGATTGTTGCGTATAAACTCATCTTCTGTCATTTTCTTCTTCACCTGCGGGTTATGCTGATCTGTATTGAGCATGATAAGCGAGTAGCATAAGATATGAACTGTATCTTTGCTTGCAAAAATCTCAGAAGATTGTTGCTGGAAGAATCGCTCCGAGAAAGCCTCGATGATACGTTCGATCTTCTGTGACTCTCCCGGTAACCTGAACGTTTCGAGAAAAGTCCTTAACGCCGTATCAAGACTCATACCCGTGAATTCGAACGTTTGCGTGAAATCTTTCAGAACCTTGACGTGAAAATCATCAGGATCTCCGAGATAATCTCCGATTATCGTCTTGTCCAAACCAGGAGTGAATCGGAAAAATGAAGCAAATGCCTTTGGATCGGGAGGATCGGACACCAAGTTGTTAAACTTCAAGTACTCTAAACCCTTTTTCTCATCTCGGTTGAAATGGTTCGACGCGATCAGTAACTTCCGCTTCTGCGCTTTCCTCACCCTTATATGATCAATCCAAGCGTCGAAATCATCATTCGCCTTCTCAATCCAAAAGGGTGTATACTCTTTGATCTCGACGGGTCGTGGCTTCAAAGAACTCGAGTCATTATCACAGTCGCCCTCTCCATCATCGTATTCTTTGTCGATATTATCGGCGATATTGTGAATAACGATCACGAGGCCTTCAAAGGCTTGGATCTGAAGAGAGGTTAAAGGGCCTGAAGTCGGGAATGTGTGTCTGCAAAGCACTTTCCCGATCTCTTCGAAGAGACTTCGGCAAATCGGATCGCAGTCGTAGTTAACGTAAGATTCGACGATGAACGAAGGCTGACGACAGAAATTGATTATGCCTTCAAGAGCAACTTCTTGTAGCTGAATATAACCAGACATCGAAGTCACTCTCAACAACACGAATGCGAAGAATGCTTCGAGCTGTAGCCTCACAAACCTGTAAATATATCAACAAAGATCAGATTTTTTCTGATGAAACCCATCAATTAGGGCACGAAAACGCGGTTAAAAGCTAAAATTTTTCTGATCATTTTTTTGTAATCTTGATTTTTATTCTCAGTTCACGAAAAAAGTTAAAGAAACGTACTTACTTTCGGAGAAAGTGATAGATGTTGAGTATGCAGCTGCAGATCATGGAGAGGACGAGAGGGCTCGAGGAAGATCCGTAATGGATCAGATGGTGAAACAGATCATCTTGAATCATCCTCAGAAGCTTCGGGTGTTGCCCGATCGCGTCTCCGCACAATTCAATCGCGGAATTGATCAAAACCAAAGCGAATATCTGAACATCTTCGTCCGCAGTATGTACAGTCGTCCCTTCTGCGCTCTCGACCACCTCGACAACGTTCAATAGCGAGCAGAGGAAGTGAAATATGTCGATGCAACAACGGATTCCGTATCCTCCACTCACGTCAATTTCATCGGTGTCGGATTCCGAGTCTTCCCCTTCGTCTCCTCTGACTTCGAAATCGGGTAATCTCGCGAAAATTATCTGAATCAGTTCGTGCATCGTGTATCGGCCGTTTCGCTGCAGCAAATCGCCTCTCCTCGCGGATTGTTGCACCACTTGGAAACATGTATTGACGATTGTGCAGACCGCTTGATCTTCTAATAGATTCTGTCGAAATCATCGAACAAACTGTCTCGTCAAAAAATCCGAACGAATCACGAATCGAAACGAGTATATGATAGCACGAACCGAGGCGGGATGTTTCATGATTCCGACCAAAACTTGGAGAATCCTCATCATGACGGCATCCTCGGAAACGGGATCAGTTTTCTCGAGACGGCAGCTCGTGATCCCGGAAACGATGGAATTCATGGCGTCCTTCGCGCCAGGAGTCTTCTCGTCGAAGATCTCGATCTTTAGGATCTTGAGGATCGAGGAGAGGGCGACGGCAGTGGCGCTGGCCGGAATCTCGTCGCTCTGGACGACTTCTAGGAATGGCGAGAGGTAGATCGAGGGATCGATCGTTCGCCATTCCTGTTGTGGATTGAAGATCAACGCTCTGAGAGATTTCAACGACTGTTGTACCGACGAATCGGAATAATCACAGTCTTGCGGGGAGAGGTAATTATCCATAAGCGGACGGCGAATGACTGCGAGGACGGCCCCGACCTCGGTGTTTAGCATACACGAGATGCCTAGCTCCTTTCGCCGCGATTTCACGGCGGCTTTATCCATTGCTTGGGCCGCACGTAAAAGGAGGGTTCAGAGTCTGTTTTGCCGGTCAAGCGTTGGAGATTTGGAAATCATCAGCTTGGAACTGTGGGAACGGTTGTGTGAATTTACAGATTTGGCTCTCGCTTGTGTTGTGAAGCGGAGAGGCAGTAAGGGGTATTTTTGGGAATATAAAGTTTTTTTTTTATTTATTTATGTGCGGCTTTGCCTTTGTTATAGCAGAAGTGATCTAAATTTAGGTTTGTAGAATTTAGTGGCTGGTAAAATGAGTGACGAGGAGTTTCAACCTTGAGTTTCGTAAATTTTGTGATGCTTATGCATTGGATCTTATATATGCGTGTATATATACGTACGTATGTATGTATTGGGTCCCATATATACATATATATATGTTTGTGTGGTCCCATGTTTAGATTTAAACCCCACTAATTTTATTGATTATTACCTCATCATGGTGTCATTAATCACGCACAACACATGGAATATATGTTGCAAGAACATGAATGAATAAAATTACATGTGAAATTATAAGAATGATGGTGACTTTCTAATGGAAGAGATATGTAACAGCTAAGGCCATTAGGAGAAGAAAATAAGCAATCCCTTGGTCAATGGTCGTTCCTGCAATTAATTAGAAAGTTTATTAATATTATAATATGTATTTCGAATAGATTAAAAACAGGCCGCTCATAAATTTTTTAAAAATTAAATTAATCGATAAAAATATATTCTATAAAATCAAATGATAATTATTAAAAAAATTAATAAATAGAAACTAAAATATATCATAAACATGAAATTTCCACCAAAATAAAAAAATAAATATTGGAAGCCCAAGTAAAAGGAAAAAAATTATGAAGAGAAACAATTCGAATAAAAAAAGGTCCAAATTTTGGCAAATAACATTCCGAAATTTTCAATTATAAAAAAGATTTCCATTATGATGATCATTTAATAGTAACAAGAAAGCATATACTAAATTCAGAAGATTTTTTTTTCATGTTTTTCCATGTAACGAAACCAATTAACCATTACAACACAGCGGATTCCAAGGATTGTTCGTTCACATATACATATATACATTAATATATATATATATATGTGTGTGTGTGTGTGCTAGAAGGTAATTCATGTGGAAAAAGTAGTTACCATCACTAGAAGGGGAGGGAGCAGGAGACAAGATCTGGGCATTACAAAGCTGAAACAGCACCAAGAACACCATCAAACTCAGAATCTGAAAAGCCCAAACTCTCTCTGAATCCATTTTGTCCTTAGATCTTCAAAAGGGGGATCGAAATAGAACTTGAATTCCTCTCTTTAATGCTTCTGCGTCGTGTCTATCTATGATTGTGTGCGTGTGTGTGTATATATATATATATATGTGTATGCGCGCGTATGCGTACGCTCTCACTCGAGGAAGAAGGAAAGAAAGAGAGGTGCGTGGGCGAGTGATGGGAACGCGTGGTTGATTGGCACTTTGTTGACTCCGGCGGCTCAGCGTTGAATCTCATTATAAATTAACCTTCTCGATTTTTTATTTGATAAAAAAAAAAAGTTCAGTGTTTTTTCCGTTTTATTCAGATTTCGTAATTCGAGTTCTTGATAATTGTATTAAAAAACATGTCGAAATTAATATTTTTCTAATTGTGTAAAATATGGAAACGCAGACCAAACTTTCTTAGGTTCGAAAAACTATTATTTTAAAAACTAAAATATGTTAAAAAAAATTGAAAAATTTAAAAACCGAAAAAAAAAGACTCCTGGGTTCCTTCTCTCTTATCGCCGTTCGCAGGCGTCGAGTTTCTCAGCAGAAGACACCAGGGTATCAATTTGGACCCTAGGCCCGAGGTCCAATCCGAAAATTAGCGGGTTTCGGACTTAAATTTTTCGACCCGAAAAAATTTGGACTGTCGGACCGGACTCGAATCGGGTTTCGGATTCGAGTCGAACCGATCCGATGTTTAAAAAGAAAAAGAAAAAAAATAAGATTTACAAAAGGATTTATACGGACTGGCCTGGTCCGGTCCGACCTGACCCGAGCCTGGTATGTATTGGGCGGGACTTCGGGTTTAACCACATGGATCCAAAAAAAATTGGGCCGGTCCAAGCTCAAGTCCAAAACTTTCGGACCGAATGCGGGCTCGGGCTGGTCGGCCTGGCCGACCCGATTGACACCTCTAGAAGACAAATATCATCGTCCGATTCCGGTCGAAGACACGATCTCGTCATATTCTCCGGACCATCGATTTCTTCGGTAGAGTGTGTAAGTTTTTTGTAATTTGAATCCGACATTCGATTTTTGAGATGTTTCTTGCGTCTTTACTGTTGAAATCGCTAACGGAGGTGTCGGATTAAGCTAATTTTGATTAATTTTAGGTTACGAAACTTGATGAATTTTGATAATCTCGCCAAACTGAACTTTGTTTATCTATTGTCTTTTGGGTTTTTCCTTTTTTCTTGGTTGTCCGTGTTTACGTGTGTGTATATATATATAGATTGAACACTCTATGGATCGTGGTTAGAGATGACCATTTTGGTTATTAATCAAATAATTGAATCGAACCGAACTGAATAAGATATAACCATACGCGAACTGAACCCGATATCAAAACCAAACGGTTATGATTTCCTTAAACCTGAAAAAATCAAAAACAAACCGAACTGAACCAAATAAAAAAAATAGCTGAAAAAACCGATAATTTTTTTGAAAAAATAAACTTTTTACCGAAACTGAATCGAATCCAAACCAAAAATTAATCGAATAGAACGTAACCGAAGTTTATATAGAAAGCGAATGGTTATATTTTTTTATAACCGAAATAATCAAACCCGAATATAACTGAACCAAACCCGAACCGAAACCTGAATTGGGCACCCCTAGCCGTGGGTCGTGACTCACTAAAATTTTGGCTAGTTTAAATCTAATAATTTATAGTCCTTGATATTTTTTTTTTCAGAATTCACATTCATATTTTATATAGAAAATGATTTTTTTATACAAAATATCTATTTAATACCTTATTTGATTTCTTTTATTCTCTAAATTTTATGTATTGGTTTGAGAAGGTGACATTTCTCATTCATATGTACATAATATATATGTATATATGATATATTTAGATTGATTTTTTTTTCTGTTGATGAGTGAAACATAAATTATAGATTTCAAATATAAATTATATTATAATTTTTTTATAACAACTATATATATATATATATTAACTATTAAGAGATACGGAGAAGATTTGAGAAAATTACGTAATAAAATATTTAGATTTGGTTTTATTTATATATTTTAGATATTTATATTTATTAAATAAGATGTTTTATGATTTTTTTTCTATCTATAAATATTGTAATGTTCTATGTTGAATATTGAGAAATTCAATGATTCTCCACCATTTTTTCTATTATGCTATCAGAGTCTGTATGACTAAACGTTCTAAGGATCTCTTCTAAACCCGACTTTTAGCCTTTTCGATTGGAAAACTCAGATCATCGATCCGCACATCTGCGCCACTCCGAACTTTCAGATCCGCCTTTCATAAAAAAGAATGATGGCATTCAAATAGCAATCCATCGTCCATCGAGATTCTACCCTCAAATCCAGATATGTATTCTACGATTTTAAATTCAATCGGATGTTTCTCATCTATTTGAATTTGAGAGATATATTAAGAGATACGAAGAAGATTTGAGAAGATTACGTAATATTTACATTTAGTTTTGTTTTTATATTCTAGATATTTATATTTATTAAATAAGATATTTTATAATTTCGTTTTCTATGTATAAATGTTATAATGTTATTTATTGAATACTGAAAAATCCAATGATTCTCTAATATTTTCTCATTTATTAATCAATAATGATTGATTTTAGAGCCTAACGTATAATTAAAAAACAGAAAAATAATACAAAACGTACAAACAAATAAAATAGTGTCACCATCGTAAGCAATTGAAGATGCCGTAAGAGAAAATAGCACATCCTTTGATTCATTGAACTAAAAAAATAAAAAATCAAAGATATTATAATGCATATTATATATATTATTTATTGTGCTCCACCCGAATCTCATCCAATCCAATCAAAATTATTATTGTCCATATAACAATAATATAATGAAGTAATAATGGTGGAGAAGAAAAAACGAAAAGGATAAAACTTAAGAGAGAGTTCCAAAAATATCGATTTTGCAATTTTATTATACTCCTGTTTTGAAAAACAATAATTTGGGCTGTCATAATAATTTAATATTTTAGATTTACTGAAATGCTACATTTATTTTTGCAATTATTTTTTGTTATATTCAACTTCTCAATCAAACTATTACGTTCATTGTCGCATAATTAATAACATCTTTTAGCCTAGTGAACCTATTGATCTCTTCACATGGGTATTATAATTATGATGATGATTATTATTATGATTATGATTATTATTATTATTATTAGAAAATAATATGGTTTGTGATTTGTATCAACGGATGGATCTACTTTACAGAATTTACAAACTCGATCTCAATCAAAATAACATCTTCAAATGTTTGCATTTATTCTAAATTTTAGACCGTTTGATATGACGATATTCACCAATCGATTGTGAAATTTCATCTCAGTTCATTTCACGACAGTTTGATTCATATATATATGGAAGTGAAATATGTCGATGCAACAACGGATTCCGTATCCTCCACTCACGTCAATTTCATCGGTGTCGGATTCCGAGTCTTCCCCTTCGTCTCCTCTGACTTCGAAATCGGGTAATCTCGCGAAAATTATCTGAATCAGTTCGTGCATCGTGTATCGGCCGTTTCGCTGCAGCAAATCGCCTCTCCTCGCGGATTGTTGCACCACTTGGAAACATGTATTGACGATTGTGCAGACCGCTTGATCTTCTAATAGATTCTGTCGAAATCATCGAACAAACTGTCTCGTCAAAAAATCCGAACGAATCACGAATCGAAACGAGTATATGATAGCACGAACCGAGGCGGGATGTTTCATGATTCCGACCAAAACTTGGAGAATCCTCATCATGACGGCATCCTCGGAAACGGGATCAGTTTTCTCGAGACGGCAGCTCGTGATCCCGGAAACGATGGAATTCATGGCGTCCTTCGCGCCAGGAGTCTTCTCGTCGAAGATCTCGATCTTTAGGATCTTGAGGATCGAGGAGAGGGCGACGGCAGTGGCGCTGGCCGGAATCTCGTCGCTCTGGACGACTTCTAGGAATGGCGAGATAATATACAATAAACTATTACATACCATAAATATACTTATTCGAATTCGCCGAAATCCAAAAAGTACATTAAAAAGATAATAATACAAACCCGATAATAAGTGCACGAACAAGGAGGATCCAAACACCGAGAATGGAATCAGGACGAGTCCATGGATTTAGGAGAAAGAGAAGTCATGGAGGAATCGAGATGGTTAGAGTTCGATTTCATCGACTTGGAACGATGAAACCGACACCTAAACGAGCCTTTGTGGGTCGTGGGCGAGCAGAGGCACTGACCCTTTGGCCCGGCCGTGGTGGCTCGGCCGCCCTCTCCGGCTTTTGGGGAAATTGTGTTGAGTTCTATTGGCTCCATGGCTCTTGGAGAATTTTGATATTATGAGAAAGTCAAAGGTTTTTGAAATTAAGGAAGGAGTGCGAGGCGAAGGTGAAGGAATGATTTTGGAGATTTTATTGGTGTACTTCACGAGGCTGTCCATAACTTATATTATGCAATGAACAAAACTAAATACACGTCAGAAAATATTCAATTATTTTGTATTATATATATGTAGATATATGCATATGCATACGCACAAAAGTCCAATGTGTTATCTTGTTTCGTTTACGACCTTTTTTTTAAAAATTAAAATACCCTTCTTTTAAGATGTTATAATATTTTTCTTCTATCTCATGATATATATCATTTTAGTATATTGATAATATGGGTCATATAAAAATATACCAAATTAAAGCAAACTATACATAACCATATTAATGAAACATAAAATAAATCCAAATGGACTATAAAAATAAATAAATAATATAAAAAAGCATTTTATAATTATATTATGATTTTAATTCAGATGAAAATAATGTATTTGTGTATGAATCTACAATTGATCAGGTTTGGAAACTATTATACGAATTATTACGTCAAACCGATGTATACAATTATATTTAATTATAATAGTGTTTTTATTCTATCAAGGTTAGAGTTGTTTACCACTATAATCAATAATTTCAAATGAGATAATTTTTATATTCCAAAAGACAAATGTTTTTTTTTTGTTTAACTGTGCTTTGTATTTCTACTCTAAATTGTGATTTACATAACCTCGTTTAGGCTTTTTCAAAAAGTTATATATGATACTCTAATTTTAAAAAAAAAGTATCGTGGGCCACCACCATAATGCAAACCTAACAAATACCACCGCTAGAATAATATTCCCTCCGTTTCAAAATATTTGTAGTTTTAAGTTATTTTCCATGTTTCAAAATATTTGTCATTCTACATTTTCAAGACATTTTTTTACAATAGTTTCCAATTTTATCCCTATTAAATTTCAATAAATTATTAATGATAACATTGTTTTTATCATTAAATAAGGGTATATGCGACTTTTTCTATCTTTTCTTAAAAAATGTGAAATAATCTAAAACAATAATTATTTTGAAACGGATGGAGTATATAGAAATGAAAAACTTATAAAATTATTCCCAAAATGATATTAATTAGGATATACGGAAACGGTTTTTATTGGAAAGTTAATAAATCATAAAAAAATAAAAATAAAAACTATTTACAAATCGGCTTAGGCCATTTATAAAAAAGCCTTTGACAAGAAAACCTTTTGTCTCCATATTTCGAAAGATGCAAAAATGACATTCAAAGGAACCAATATTTAGAAATCAATTTTGGAGCTGTTATATTTTACTACGACGTTTGTATTCTAAAATAATAAAAAAAACATTGGAAATTTTTAATAGTTCTCCAAAAGAATTTTAATTTCACCAGATTTTTAACAGTCTAAAATAAAATTTTGATATTTAGAAAATCAATTTTTCCCAAAAGCATTTTTTAGGGGTGAATTTGAATATTTCGGTGAGGATTATTGTATTTTTTTTTGTTCAAATTTGTTTGTTTGGACTGGAGATAAACAGGAACGAAAAGAAAGCAAGTGTATTCTTATTTGGTTTGGACCGGTTATTGTTCGATTTGGTTTAGAACTCATCTGTTCTCATTATTTTTATGTTAATTAACAAATTCAGTCCAGATGGGATCCATATCGAATCGGATTAATGAAAGATTGGACCAAATTATATATGATTTGGTTTCGTTGGAAATTTGGAATTGTTCGGTTCGGTCAAATCGAACAAAAATATTCCAACGTCAGTTTTTGTAATTTGTTTGGTTAGTGGGAAATATCATTGTCCTAAAACAAAATTTTGCGAGATGTATATCACAATCAAATAGTCAATGCTGAAATTATTGGGATTAGATTTAGAAATAGTGCGGTATAGTGAATAAAACCAAAAGAAACCGGGATTTTTATTGCTTAACCGGTATTGACTATGATTCAGCTCATATTTTTTTTATTGTTTATATATATATAGGTTGAGAGACAATTAATAGGTGAAACAAATCTAACAGTCAAACTAGCAAAACTGCCATTCTTCTTCCGAGACTTTGCTATTTCCACTCCTATGGATATCCATACATATTTTAGTTTTTTGAAGATAAAAAAATATTCTGCACCAAGTATTTCAACATGGAATACCGACGAATTTTGTAACGCAAATTCTGAAAATATTTTGATTTGTGGAATTTAATATGCTATATATTTTATAAGGCTCTTATTCTAATCTGATTATTTAAAATTTTAAAATTAACAAAGTAGAAATAATTTATTATCATCACACATATTGTTAGACAATAAACGGACTAAAAAAATACACATAATCCGAATTCGAAATCAAATTACTTTAAAACATTATTACATCTTTGTAAATAAAAAAGAAGAACAAAAAAAAATACTTTTAATTCGTAATTGGTTATTAATTTAAATCAATACCCTAAAATTCAATTATCACATTTCGTATCAACACTAGATTCAAAAGTTGTTTGCCGGAATGGAAAAAAAAAGAATATTGAAGAGAAAGATGACTTGGCAATAGCAAAAACAAGTCTGGCACAAAGTAATTCTCTCTTTGTCATTCTTCTTTAATTTCTCTACATGGACAAGATCTCTCTCTCTCTCTCTCTCTCTCTCTCTCTCTCTCTGAGAAAACACAGGTTCTTGCTTCCATTTGCTGAGGTTGCGGTTGTGGCGTATTTGATCAGTAATGGGGAGGAACAACAGCAGAAACATACAAGCCAAACTGGTGGGTACATCTTAGATCAGAGAATTAATTTCTAATATATATTTTACAAAATGGAAAATCCCATTGATAATAATTTGTTAATGTCAAAGTTAAAGAAAAGATTTAAAGGCCTTAAATCTTTGTAATAACGATCTATACCTAACATGTACACCTTGCATGGGAATGTATTTCTTATGCATTCTTACTTGGAAGTTTTTTATTTTTATTTTTATCTTAGAAAAAAACAAACTTGTTTTTTTATTAAATCTTTAGGTTTTCATTCTTAGTTGTTTAATATGATGTGCTTGAAGCTCTTAACTTCTGCACTCCTACCAACAAAAACTAATACTTCATCTCGTTCGGAGATATAGTTGGGCAAACGAATGTACGATGAATTTCCAAATTATCGAAAACAAAAAAGAAATCTTTCAACATACATACTTGATCCAATCGAAAGCAAAATACATTTCTGTTAATATTTTTGTTTATATTCAATAAATATACTTTTTTTTAATATTCTGATGGTGCGTAGGTGCTTTTGGGGGACATGGGAACAGGGAAAACAAGCTTGGTCCTAAGATACATCAAAGGCCAATTTCATGACTTCCAGGCAAATATATATACACCTTGCTCCTCTTCTTCTACCAAAATTGTTCCCAGAAATCCTGAAATCCAAAACCCTAATATCGATCTAAATTTATGATAAAGGAGTCGACGATCGGAGCAGCGTTTTTCACTCAAGTCGTGCCATTAGAGACAATGGCTGTGAAGTTCGACATATGGGACACGGCAGGGCAAGAGAGGTACCACAGCCTGGCTCCCATGTATTATCGAGGTGCTGCAGCTGCTGTCGTCATCTATGACATCACTAGCACGGTACGCCTTTGCTACTTCATATGTGTGTGTATATATATATAGGTTGTCTTGCAATTGATTCTATTGTGTTTCAGTTTACCATAGATCGCCGTTTTTGTCGGAAACAAATATTTGGATCTTTTTTTATAAAAAAATAAATTAATTAAAGAGGTTCGTTCATTGAGTGTTTCTGCTTTCTCGTATCTTTAGGATTCCTTTGCTCGAGCTAAACAATGGGTTGAAGAAGTGAGGAGACAAGGTAATTATGTACTTGTATTTCCAGCTCATGATCCAGAATGTTTCCATCTTTTTTTCCCTCAAGAATATATTTTTTTTGTTGATGACAAAATCTTGATTCTAATATTTTTTTTATTAGATAATTCATTAAATTACAAATATCTGATGTATCATGTTCGGAATTTGTGGAAAAAAAACATCAAAATAAACCAGAAGATGAAGATCTCTAAAAAGGAAAGTGTGAAATTCATGAACTTCGCATGTCATTCGATAAAAGGATCGTGTACATATATATATATATGTATGATGCAATGCAGGAACCCCAAATCTCGTGATGTTCATAGTCGGTAACAAAGCCGATCTTGAAGCTAAAAGAAAAGTCGGCACCGAGGTATGCATGTATATATATATGTACATGAGATTTGGCTCGAATACTAATCGGTATTTACGTTGAACTTATTCACGGCGTATATATATCATCGCTCGAATGAAGGATGCGGAACAATATGCTCGAGAAAACGAGATGGGATTTCTGGAGGCATCGGCCAAAACTGCTCAGAATGTGAACGAGCTCTTCTACGAAATTGGTGATTCATCCGAGAACGTTCGAAAAAACAAAAGAAAGAAAAAAAACATCGTGCTTTTTAATTATTGATTCTTTTTTTTCGGCAGCGAAGAGAGTCGCAACGGCTAACCCTCGGAGAAATAAGGGAGTAGAACTACGGGCTCGGCCGGAACAAAGAGGGATGAGGTTCTGTTGTTCGTAAGCTCAACACTCTTCATGTGGATTCAGCTTACAAAGGGATTATGATGGTGTAAACTTGAAATGTGGGTCCTCGAACTTAGTCTCGTGTCCGTAGCCATGAAGTATATGAGATACTCTTTGTTGAAACTCTATTTTATCGGTAAATTTGTGAAAATAATCGTCCCGTAATCGATATTTGTAAGAACCGAACCGAACCGAAGCCATTTAAATTCGATAGCTGTTCAGTTATTATTTTTTATATAAAAAAAAGAAAAGAAAAGAAAACGTATCTTTTATATAGGAACGAAGCCAGAAGCCATAAAACACAATCTGAAAGATAACCAAACCGAAATCCGCTGCACACTATATATAAACCCCATGGATGAAATCAGGCGATTTGACATTGCAGGCATGTGAATGTGTTCAAACAAACACAAAAACGAAGAGATGCAACCTTTTAAGCATCTGTAATTCTCAGACAGCACATTGTATGGAACAACAATCTGTGCAACTGACGAAACCTGTTATCTACTATGGATCACATGCAACAATGAATGTTAGAAATATCGAAAGATGTGACAGTGTTAGAACTTTTACCTTCCTTTGAGGGCCATGAACCGAGCAGTCAAATCGTCATAGTCGGGTAACATTGGATGCACGTGTTTGCCTGCGCTTGAACGATCGGGCTGAAACGAGGCAGCTCGGGCAAATACCTTGGTTGGTTCAGATGGCTCGGATTGCTGGTCGGGAAGGGAATGTGACCGTGCAGGTGGAGGAATCCTCTGTGATCCGTTGTGTTCATCATCCTCCGAACGGGAGTGTCTGCTTTTGGATGCTGGCTGCATCCTCATCTCATTGTAACTCGAGGGTTTCCGACTGTAATGCATAAGTAGGTTGTCTATCATTATCTCCTCGTCATCCTTGTCCTGCTCGTCATCAGACAAGATTTGGCGACCTTTTCTCAAGTGTTCCCTTCTTCGGCTTCTTGTTCTTCTCTTCGTTATCTCGAGATCCTCAGGATTGGGAATTTGGTCACAGGTTGAAGATTTAGAGTGCCTTCTACTAGATCTCCTTTTGGGTAAAGCATCGTCTATGCAGCCGTTAACCCGACGACCATTATCTTTCGCATTATCGTGATCATTGGCTCTCTCGGGTACAAAAACACTCTTATCAACGTCAGGATGAGTTGCAGCTTCAACCGTCTCTGAACTGCTATTGAGAGCAGTCTTTGAATATGCGGCAGCTTCAGCTTTGATGTTCCTTGCTATCCCGTTAGGTTTAACATACGGAGGTGGAAGGGCATTGCTGAAGGACCGTTTTCGCCTCTCTGCTTGTTCTTCTTCTTGAATTTTTTTCATCAGCTTTGCATAATCACACTCAGTTCCCCGATAGTTACCCGTTAATGGATCTTTGTCTCTGCTTTTTGACTGATGTGTTTCAGCGGCAATTTCTGGATTTCCACTGAGCGAACGATCCAGGGCCCTTCCAGCAGGTACCGCATTTTCCCTGTTCTCCCAACCATTACAGTGTCCCGAACCATGATGATCAATATTTTCTGTCCTCTTCGAGGAGCTTCTTGGCTTCGGTGTTCTTGAGGCATTATCTTCCGATTTCTGAGACACGTGCTCTGCACAATTCTCCTGTTTGTATGCTTGGGAAAGATTCTCTTGCTTGGATGTGAAAGAAAGCTTTTCATCTCTGTCCGAGGAGCTGCTAGGGTTAGGCGTTCTTGAGGCCATATCCTCCCTTTTCTTAAGCTTCTGCTCCATACCATCTTGATGTCCCTTCCTTTGAAGCAAATTCTCATGTTTGATCTTCATAACTATAGTGTCCCCCTCGTTAAAAAGTGAATTATGTTTTTCCCTGGAAGTTTCTGGCCTAGGCTCAAAGTCGAACTTGTTCCTTTCCACCTCTATGTTTCTGCTTTCTGATCTAGCTGAATTGTGAACATATTCTGACCTTTCTCTAGATGAAAAGCCATACCAATCTCCCCTACGGCCATTCTGATAAATTTCTTTCACAGGTAGAGAGGAAGGATCCATTTTTTTTGTTGCATCAGCCCTCGTTCTGTTCAAGCTGTGCTTGGCATTAACGCCTTCAGATATTTCCTTGGATGAGAAATCATACTTCTCTCTTATCGGGGGAACCTTGTTTCCATCTATAGATTTGTACTTGTCATTAGAGGCCTTTGGAAGCCCGTGATTTTTGTTTAACTCCTGCAAATCAACATCAAGAGCGAAAATTAATTAGTTCATGTCCATCACAGAACTCGAAATAAGAACATTTAACGGATTAGCTCTAGCAATAAGAATCCGATTCGATTGACATCGTGAGAATAGACTGAATGAGATAATGTTAGTAGAAGCACTAATTTACTTTTATTCTAACGATAATTACTGGGGAGTTAAAAGGAATGTTTCAGTGACATACCTTTATAGAGGAGTTATTGTGCCTTGATATCCTCTTCTCAAAAGCCGTGGAATCCCATGGAACGGAAAATTCTGATGCAACATCTTCCATTAACTTCATTTTCTTCTCCAAAGAAAATGGCTTTGTAGACAAACTCTCGACAAGCTATAATACAAATTGCCTGATGATGAACAATGTGTGGTACCGAGGTAATACTTTACAGGGAAAATGAATCTAGAGAATTTATTACCTCTTGGTTAATAAATAGTCCCAGTGAATCCCCATACTTGTCATGAAACATCTGCCTCAAATCACGCAACTCAGGCAGCTCGGAAAATGCAGAAGCTGCAAGCATCAACGATGATACAGCTTCCCGACAATCTTCAGGGCATTCACTGTAGAGCAAACGAACTGACAGACTTAAGCTTGTCTCCAATGGCAACAAAATAACTAAATCTTTTTCTCAGTGTTTACTATCCAGCAACATGACGCAATTACATACTCAAGAAATGAGCTAGCGAGAAATAAGATGAATCCCTTCTTGTAGCCATCCACTTAACAAATTTAAAGAAAGAAGAGAAACAAACGTTTAAGAAAATGACCTTCAATTTGATATTCAATCGATTTATCATATTAAACACTCTTCCCCATGAATCTTAGAAATATTTTCAACTGAATTCACACCCCTGGAACATTCACCAACACATTGTTCCTCGATCTCAGAATTTTCCTTTTGTTTTCGAATGTGGGTGCTCGGATGAACATTATAAGCAAAAACTTGTGTTCCATCCACGCATGTTCTTCGCCTAATTGATACTCTAGACAGTGAAGTTGTTGGCTTCACTCAATTTCCGATTTCTTGCATCTAAGGTGCAGAATCAGGATGGGGCTAATTGACTCAAACACATAGAACTGTTACACGACTCGTACATATCTAACACTTGATGGAGAATCACAATGACAAACAAAACAGTATAAACGAAATCAAGTACACTCACCTTATCTTCTGCATAAGGGAAAGATGTTTATAGACAAAGTCACAAGACCTCTCAACAAAATCAAGATTCCATAGATGCTTTAGTTCATCAAGAAGTCCTCCTGCCTGATTCACAAGGCACAAAATTCTGTAAGTTCTCATTAAGAAGTTGACCAATCTGCTTTGTTTCAATTTCAATAATGAAAATGGAAATGCATCACCAAAATGCGAAACCTGTCAAATTCAAGGACAAATTCAGAGGGATGGTTTACAATATACCGTCCAAATTGGATTTCCATACGATAAAGTAGTGTTGGCTACACAGGGAGATTTCAAATCCAAAGAATACGAAAAATTTGTTTCTTTCATTTTCCCAGCATTTTCTTCGTATCCAAACAGATAATAAGGAACACAAAATAGATATCGATTTAATTCAAACAAAAACAGGAAAATCACTAACTCAATCCCAGAAAACTGGATCACTCTGACAAATTCAAACGATAGAACATACAAGAAACGAATATACAGCAACAAACTAACCCTGTCATAAGCATTGACGTCAAGACCATTAGCAAGCAGATCAGCTAAATCCTTCTTCAGAAATTTGATCGTCGCGGTTCTCTTCCTCCGAAGAACGTCGATCCGATTCTTCGTCAGTTTTATCAGTGATTTCCTGCACACACAGCGACAGCATTCACGAGATGAAATTGAAAATTCCAAACAAAACATAAACACACGTCGATTCACATGGACTGATATACTGTATTTAGATATAGTTAGAGAGGTAGAACGAACCCCTTGGGGACAAAACCGCGACCTAAGAGACCGCCAAGCATCTCCAATCTCTAGCACTCGCGTCGATTCGACTCAGAAGCTCGAAAACCGAGTTAAGAAGAAAACCAGAACACAGAGGCGAAGAACAGCCGTTGAAGGGTAGCTTCCCAGCGACTGAAACTCGCCTATTGCACAGCAACATGAAATGCTAAAGCGTTTTTTCTTTTTGACATTTCCGAAAATAACCTCAGTCCTTCCTTCCTTAAACGACAACGACCGACTTAGATTAGAACGTTACATAGGAGTGGTTTTGTAAATTCTTCTCTTTGTTAGTGGGGACGGTGGATCCGTTGTCTCTTGCTAACTCGAGCCTTGCATGGCCTTAATTTTTTGAGAAAAATATTATTTGTAAAATCTAAACTTTTAAGGTTTTAAATAAATAAAAAAAAGAAAGCGTCCGTTAAAAATAATTTAAAAAAATCAAAAGGATCAAATTTGGTTACAGAGTGAATTTTTTGTATCGTAATAATTTCAAATTTTGGAAAGTATTGGAAGAAAATAAAATTAATTTGACAATAAATATAACTGAATTTTAATTTTTAATTTTCATTGATATATAATTTTTAAAAATCTTTAAAAAAAAATTAAAATGAAAGAGTATTTCGATTAAAAAAAATGTATTACCATTTGACGATAATAGTTGATGTGTTTTATCTCCTTACGATAATATAACTTTTTTTTTTATTATAATATTTTCTTATAATTTAAAATTGTATTACATTAAATTCGTAGATTTGGAAAAATATTGTCTATTTTATAACAATTATTTCTTTTTTAGTTTTTACTGAAATTGAATTAGAATCCCGTTTGAACTCTAAAATAAAAATAATCTAGTTATGGTATGGTTTAGTAACTTGATTGAAATAAGGAAACTTGTTAACATAGGAAACTCTCATCCAAGAACTCAGTCAACAAACACATTGTGGACAAAATTTCATACACACGTGACACGTGTGGCCAAGAAGGCGACGATGATCACTCGCAACTCAACTCAAGCTCTCCCCAATGCTCTCATAAGCTTATAGCTATTTCTTATTATAGTTCGAAAAGATAAAACCCTAAATTTGTTAAAAAAAAGTTATGGTTAATCTACTAAATTTATCAAAAGATCAAAAAATACCAAATTGTGACAATTTGAGTAAACCCCAAAACGATGCCACTAAATACCAAACGCGAGAGAGAGAAATGTAAATGCAGATAGATATATATATGAGTTAATATAAGATATGGATATGAAATCACATAATCATACACTCATCTCTCCCACAGCACTGTGAGAAAGGGAAACACCACTAAAGGACACATGAAGATGAGACTTCAACTTATTATCACACTCTCATACTCGAGCCAATATTTCTTTGGGAGATTTCTTAGAGAGCCTTGAGGATATCCGCGGCGCTGGAAACAGTGAACTCACCTCCAGATTCTACGTTGGCGGCGGTCACCTTGAGGTTATCCACGAGCAGAGCGAATCGCCTTGACCGAATCCCGAGACCTTTATCCTTAAGATCAAGCTCAAGGCCGAGCTTGTGGGTGTATTCTGCAGACCCATCACCTACAAACTTAACATGCTCGTTCGCTGGGTAAGTTTTAGCCCATGCCTTCATCACAAATGGATCGTTCACTGCGATAATAAAGACACAATAGAGTTAAAACTTGTGGGCATCGATTCCAAATCCGTCAGCGAAACATATACACATCATGCAGAGCTCATGGTATCAACTTGTTCTCAAATCTAGATGTCGATAACTACGGATATCTCGAGAGAGATTCTATCTGAAAAGTATAATACTTGATGAATTACGAAGATCTTTGTTAAATCTGTGGTATACACAGCAATCACCAGCTACAATACTCTTTGTGCTTGGGGATGTTTGAGAATTCCAAATTAGTCTCCGAAATGAAATATGTCATAAAGAATTGCACAAGAAATCGACCATTTGATAAAACAGAAAATACGATACGGATAATCCAAAAATTTGTTGAAGTCAACCGATAACAGATCTAAAACAAGGGCAATCAGCATCATATCACGCAGGTGGTAAAAGGCCTGGCATTGAAACGAGAAAGTAGAACAAGCAGACTAACCGCTAAGGCAAAGGATCTCATCGACGCCCTTTGATTTCAGCTCATCCGCCTTCTCAATGAATCCAGGCACATGCTGCATGCTATTTGAATAGAGGGAAACCAGGAAAAGCACAAGCAAATCACATTTCTCAACCATAGCTATGAATCAAATACACAAACAGAAACTCATAATCAAGGTAATTGTCAAGTGTCTCACAACAATTGTGTTGGCGATTAATCAGAAACCGATTTTGATTCTGAACATGTTTCGGGACAACATTTTCAGCACATATTTCAGAACAGAGGCATGATCGAAAAGCTCTTCTCAACTAGATCTATGAATCGAAAAGCTCAGTATCCCAACACAGACACACGCGAATAACTCATAACACTGTGTAATCGCAAGTGAGTCACACAACTAATTTGGCAATAACTCACAGAACCCCACACACTCCCATTGAGAACATTAGGAACGACAAATTCACCACAAAGCTTCGCATAATCTGCTACAATTAACGCCAAATAATCCATCGGAAACTGCAATAGAAACGCAATCCCTACGAATTCATCAACGGACGGCGGGATATGTTACCTGCAGGTGGGAGTGAAAGCGCCGGGGACGCCGAAGAGAACGACCTTCTTACCGGCGGCGAGAGAGTGCACGGAAACCTTCTGAAGCTGATCGTTCTCGTCGAAGAAAGCTAGGTTTCCATCGGGAATAACGTCGCCGACAGCGATCGGAGCCATATTCACGATATCGAGGGGTCGGGTGCTAAGAAGTTGAGGGTTTGGGTGGATTTGTAGATTTTTACAAAACCTATTGCGCTTAAATAGCAAATTGAGATATTCTTATTTAGTTTCTTTTTTGTTTTCGACTTGTGTGTAATAGAACAATCTAGAATGAATTTTGAGGGGATAAAGACGTAAAAGCGAAAATTTGTTAGAATTGTTTTTTTTTTTTTTACAAAGTAACTCTTTAAAAGAATTAATTAAAACCACTGCTACTTGTGAAGTAAACAAATTATTATTTTCTAAAAATCTTGAAAAACCTATCATATTTGTCCATTTTTAACTTCGGACTATAATATATTTAAAATTAGAATTTATAGTAATTAATGCCTTAACTTTTTTATTGTATGTTCCAAATTAAAGTCAATACTTTTATAAAACCATTGACTATTAAGGCTCGGGTGAATTATAGAAAACATTTTTTTTTTGGGGTGTTAAAAGCCATGGATGCGAAACTAGGATGCCGTGTTAGATCACATATAGGGCAAAACTCACAAGTTAGAGATTCATTTCTTGTCCGAAAGAATTCGTTTGGTTAGTATTCATTCGGGTCTCCTCTCTCAATCTCGACCACACAAAAAAACACACAAAAACAACAAAAAAGTAAACAAAAGGAAAAAAAAATCTCGAGAATTTTGCATCAAGGAATGCTATATTTTTTGTGATTTATTATGTTTCGCTTCAATATAAATTTTAGATTCCGCGTAGTCACATTCAATCCTATTATCAATCATTGCATGCGGTTCTTCTGTAATACCAATGCAATAAAAAAATACGATTAACCCAATCGGAATAGACCAACGGTTATAATTGGTTAAGAAGGTTGTTACATGTATTCTAGATCCCGTGTTCGAATGGTCGTTGATTAGGAATGATATAATTTAATTATAGTAAGCTTGATCTCCGATTCATGGTGGATATAATTGGATCGAAGATAGGAAAACAATCTGATTAAAAAAATACGGATAATATTACGGTCAATCTAACTGTGTATATCATTTATCATATTACCTAGAGTTGAGGTTGGATTGTTGGAAGTTTGATAATAACTTATTATAATTAAAAAAGGATAATTGATAGCTTATTAATACAATTATGATAATTTCAGAAGAAACAAAAAAAGCAAGGGAATTAGTGGTGATTGATTGATTATATGCGCAGACACAAGAGTTCACGGGTCGCTGCTTTCATTTGTCTTCTTTCATAGTCTTTTGCCTTGTCTCATTCTATTCACATTTTAGATAAAAATATATTTGAATCTGCATCTCTTTTCTGTATGTGTGTGTGTATATATATATATATATGTATGTATGTGTAAAGACAAAGAAATCATGATTACGCAAGAATTTGTAGACGTTAAAAAAACATAAGATAGGTCAAAGTACTGAAACATTATATAAGAATTTGTAGAACTTATAAATGTTAAAGTATTTAATCAATATTTTCTGCATTGCTTTCAGGTAACAAATAATAATAGAATAACAGATTAAGTAATTAACCAAAATCAATTTCAGGGGACGACAAACTCACGGGTTTCATATGCATGTGTCTCCTCCTCCCACTCTCTCTCATGGTCATGGTAACTTTATAAAGACTGAACATCAGTAATTCCCCGATTCAAAGCAACACATTATAAATATATTCGCACAGAGGGAGAGAGAGAGAGAGAGAGAGAGAGAGAGAGAGAGCCACTCTGTGAAAGAGCTTCAGCCCATCAAAACTTTGAGAATGATAACTCCAATGAAGTCTTTTGCTTTGATGAATCTCTCAGAGTAAGCAATCTCTCTCTCTCTCTCTCTCTCTCTCTCTCTCTCTCTCTCTCTCTCTGTTCTTTAAGAAAATTACTTTGGATTAACATAGTTATGGTGAATTTATCCGCTAAATTTCACGAGAAACTAACATAATTTAGAAAAAAAAAAAATCTAAGTATTTTGAATTTTTGAGTATAGGAATTGAAAGATCTGCGAACTCAGCTTCACTTTGCAGCAGATTCTTGTGAGACCATTTTCTTGAAATCTGAAGACAAGAGAGAGTAAGTGTTCCCACTTCCTCTTACGCTCTTAAACAGAAACTCATAATCAAGGTAATTAATCTTTAAATTATACTCCCCGTTTCATAATAAATGTCGTTTTAAAAATTTATTGTTACTAAGTAAATGTCACTTTAGTAAGTGATTTTTTTTTTTTTAATAAAATCTGTAATTTTACCTAGGGCTGGGCATTTAAACCCATTACCCGCAGGTTTGCGGATAACCGGTCTCGCGGATACTCAAAAAATGGATACTCGACACTTAATAAAAACGAAAAACGAGCATTAAAGTGTAGAAAACCTCGTATGACGGGTACAGATTCGGATTTTAAATATTTAGAAAACGAGTATCCGCGGATATCCGTATATATATAAAAAAGATAAACTTAACCTTATATTTCTAAACTATTTACCAAAATATCTAAGATTTTATAATATTTTTATTACATCCTAATCTTTTTAACTTTAAAATCATTTTATATATTTGAAAACTTTCTAAAAATTTATGTATATTTTAATATTTGAAAAAAATTTAAATTTTAAATGTATTTTTAAATCAAAATATATATGATTTTGTCGGATATTTGTTTAATTTTAAATTAAAAAAATATTATATACACGTATATGGATAGTCGCCAGTATCCGTCATTTAGTCGCGAGTACTCGTCTAACGGGTACCCAGATGTTGCGAGACAGAGATAGAGATAACATTTTTTTTAAAACCTGCGAAAATGAAAACGAAGACGGGTATATCAAAAAACGTGGATACCCGACCCATGCCCAGTCCTAATTTGGTTTTATCGAATGACACATATAACTAATACTAACGTAGATCCACCAATATCTTCAACATCAAAGCTGCGTTTTGGATTTCAATAAATAGAAAATCTCAAGGAAGATTGTTTATGTGGGTCATACGTTAGCCCTTGTGATTACGTTTGTTATCTACCATGAATCGGAAAGAATAATTATATTTAAATTGATAAACTATTATTATTGACGATTACTGAATAAAAATGATTATGTGTTTGTTATCCACATAGCAATCATATATTTTAATTAGAAATAGAGATGGATAAACAAGCGATTTCAGTAGTGTTTGCGATCAATCAAGAGTATATATATATATATATATATATATAATACCATATATTGATTTATGTGAATGATAAGTGCAGAATGGTGGAAAACACGAAGGAATATATATGCCGTGCATTGGTGACGTTGGTGGATCATTTGGGAAATGTTTCATCGAAATTGGACCGACTCATCTCCATCCCCAATCACTTCTCAGACGTTGAACTCCGAATCCACTGCCTTCAACAGGTACCCCACCCCACCCACTATAAGTTCCTGTCTCATCATATATATATATATATATATATGTGCGAATACATCAATTTTGACTAGATACGGGATATCAAAAGTGTAATTT